AATTAGAAAATTCCATATTTTAATTAATACTCAAGTTTAAATCACAATAATACTACATAAATATTTCCTCCTCCCCAAATCGTAACAGTTAAAAAAAATTGCACCAACTTATTGCTTTGTGTACAGATCAAGCATTTTTCTTTAGGTTCTTGTAACATGTGTCATTAGGTATTTTTTTGAATGGCAACTACCAAGGTTTCATGGAGGTCTTCTACTCTTCTTGAGTAGCCTACCTACACTCTAGAATTGAAATAATAAAAACGGTGTCCTTTACCTACCTATACTCTGGAATTGAAGTAATAAAAACGGTGTCCTTTACCTACCTGTACTCTGGAATTGAAGTAATAAAAACGGTCTGGAATTGAAGTAATAAAAACGGTCTTCTTTACCTACTTGTACTCTGGAATTAAACCTACCTATAATCTGGAATTGAAGTAATGAAAACGGTCTTCTTTACCTATTTCACATCGATCGTACTAGTAAAGGTTGAAAATTTAAATTTGTTTATTGCATAATTTTATTATTAATTTATATAAAAAATTATGAAAATAAAATTTTATTTTTAATATTAAAATGTCATGTCAAATTTTTTAATTAAATAATTAATAAAATTAAAATTATTTCTTATTTTTTAATAAAAATTAATAATAAAAAATATAATAAATACATACTTAATCCATACCATAATTGCGCAACTGAAAGCTTATAAATGTTTTCGTTGGAGTAATAAAACAACAGCATTCACAAACAGAGCTACTTCCTTCCTGCTAATAAATACTCTGTTAAATTATAATTAAAAGTATTTAAATTTAATTATTTATTTTTTAAATAATATTTAATATATTTATTCTTGTTTTATTTTTTTTTAAATTGTAATATATACTTCGTATTAAATAAAAAAAATATAAATAGTAATTAATTAAAAATAAATTCAAATTTAATTAATTAATTATTATATTTTTATTTTATTAAATAAAAAATTAATCCTCCTAAAGTTAGGGGGGAAGAGAATTATTTTCTTTAATTCTTCTCCTTCTTCTTCTTCTTCTTCTTGCCTTTTTGGTGTCAAGTGAAATGCATAGTAACAGTCAACGCGCAATCCTTCAGGTATGGTCCGGATGAATAACAAACATATCTAATTATTACTTCTTTCTTTTTTTTGCTAATTAAGTAAGTTTGAAGTATTCAACACTTCAGTCGTTGGTTAGCAGCAAGTTGTAGACGACCCCAGTCCCAGATTTGATGGCCACAGGACAAGGGATTAGCATCCTATTAATTATACTTGGTTTACTTGATTTTATTGATATTTTATTAATTTATAATTTTTTAAAATAATTATTTATGATATCTAAAAATTAATATTAGTTTAAAAAATGATTTTAACATATTTAGTAATAAATATTAATTTTTTTAAAACACGAAAGAATTTAGGGGATGAGAGAATATTTTTTCAAAGTAATGAATAAGAGTATAATTTCCAATTTATTTGAGTCCAAATATTTAGGTTTGGATGGTGAATCATCAAATATTAATTATTTTTAATAATTAAATTAAGTAAAATTTATATTTTTTTATATAATATTAACAAATTGTGTGGTTGAGATAAAAAAAAAAAACAAAAACAAAAACAAATTCTGCGGTTTGAATGTAACGATGCGTGGCAATAACTCTGCCTTTGTTTCCATTTGAATGTCATTTTAGAAATGTTTTTCCTGTTCCATTTTATATGACTTTTAGGGTGGCAATTTCCCTCAATCCCAGCACGATTTTGTGGGGATCCTTGTTACAGGAACGGGACAAAAAAAAATATTCTTTCTCGTGTGGGACGGAGATGGAGAGCATTTTTTTCCCGTGAAATTTCATAAGGAATTTTCCCTACTTCGTGGGGCCTGTGGAGATCTTTATCCCGCAAAAATTAAAACAAATAGAAATTAATTTTATTTTAAATTTAATTCATCTTTCAAACTCAAATCTAAATCCAAATCCAAACCCAAACGCAAACTCAAATTCAAGTTCAAACTTAATTCAATTAAAATTAAACTTAACCCAATTTTACCTAACCCAACCCAACCCAACCCATTCCATAAAAATTAACTCAATTCATTCCCCTACTTACATTTAACCTTAACCCTAATTCATTTCTCAATTTTCATTTTCATTTTCACTTTCCTCTCTATTGTTGGTTTAATTTTTACTTATATTTTAGTTTAGCTTGGATTAATCTCTATTTAT